GGCACCGGTGGTGTGGGAGGTTGATGCGGACATCGAGCGGGCGTTACGTACCGATCCTATTCCCCCACAGTGTCCAGAGGGTCGGAGGTACGTGCCGCTCGAGGTTCGCGATCGATTAATATATTGGGCTCACATGTCACCCTCCTCTGGTCATCCTGGTATTGGTCGGACAGTGCAATGCCTTAGTGGGAAGTACTGGTGGCCCACTTTAGCTAAGGACGTGAGGGTTTATGTTTCCTTCTGCTCGGTGTGCGCCCAGTGTAAGGCGCCTAGACACCTGCCCAGAGGGAAGTTACAACCCCTACCCGTTCCACAACGGCCGTGGTCTCACCTATCGGTAGATTTTGTCACGGACCTTCCCCCCTCCCAGGGGAACACAACGATCTTGGTCGTTGTGGATTGGTTTTCGAAGGCCTGCCGTCTCATTCCTAGGCCAGGTCTCCCTACTGCCCTACAAACTGCTGACGCCCTGTTCACACACTTTTTCCGGCACTACGGGGTGCCTGAGGATATAGTGTCTGATCTGGGGTCCCCAGTTCACCTCTAGAGTCTGGAGGGTGTGGGGGTCTCGATTAGCCTTACCTCAGGTTTTCACCCCGAGAGTAACGGGCAGGTGGAGAGAGTGAACCAGGATGTGGGTAGGTTTCTGAGGTCCTATTGCCAGGACCGGCAGGAGGAGTGGTCAGGATATATTCCCTGGGCAGAGATAGCCCAAAACTCACTCCGCCACTCCTCCACTAACCTTACGCCTTTCCAGTGTGTGCTAGGTTATCAGCCGGTCCTGGCACCTTGGCATCAGAGCCAGATCGAAGCCCCTGCAGTGGACGAGTGGTTTCGGCACTCGGAAGAAACCTGGAACGCTGCGCATGTCCATCTGCAGCGGGCTATCAGGCGGCAAAAGGCGAGCGCCGATCGCCACCGCAGTGAGGCTCCGGTGTATGCACCGGGAGATCGGGTCTGACTCTCGACCCGAAACCTGCCCCTTCGCCTGCCCTGCCGGAAGCTGGGTCGGCGGTTTGTGGGGCCATTTAAAGTCCTGAGGAGATTGAACGAGGTATGCTATAGGTTACAACTGCCCATTAATTACCGCATTAACCCCTCGTTCCATGTGTCTCTCCTCAGGCTGGTGGTGGCTGGTCCACTCCAGGAGAATGAGATACGAGAGGCTCCTCCGCCACCGCTGGACATCGAGGGGGCTCTGGCGTACTCAGTCCGTTCCATCTTGGATTCGAGGCGTCGGTTAGGGGGCCTGCAGGATCTCGTGGAGTGGGAGGGGTACGGTCCGGAGGAACGGTGCTGGGTCCCTAAGAAGGACATCCTAGATCCCTCCATGTTGAGGGACTTCCAACGGAGTCATCCGACTCGCCCTGCTCCGCGTCCTCCTGGCCGTCCCCGAGGCCGGGGTCGGCGCACGGCTGGAGCCACGCGTCAAGGTGGGGGTACTGTCACGGAATCAGCCGAGGCTGCCCCTCCTCCTTGCTCGGGCAGGCTTCGGCGTTCGTCGTCCCCGGAGTACTAGCTGCCACCGATCTATGTTTCGGTGTTTGTCTAGTTTGTCCTGATTGTTTTAACCTGTTTTCCATTATGTTATATTGTATTCCCTTTATAACCCCCTGTCTTGTGAGGTCGGCAGTTTCGGGTGTATGCGTATTTTGTTTCCTCCCTGTTTGGAGGTTTGTTTGTATTTATATTACTGTGCTAGTAAAGTTTGTCTGCCAGTAGCTCGGTGTCCTGCGCTTGACTTCACTCACCGCATACACGTCGCCCTGAAAGCTTGTAATGCCAAGGTAGTGGGTTTGATCCCCGGGACCACCCATACACAAAAAAATGAATGCACGCATGACTGTAAGTCGCTTTGGATAAAAGCGTCTGCTAAATGGCATATTATATTATTATTATTATATTCTCTCAACCAGCTTCATGAGGAATGCTTTTCCAACAGTCTTGAAGGAGTTCCCACATATGCTGAGCACTTGTTGGCTGCTTTTCTTTCACTCTGCGGTTCAAGTCATCCCACACTATCTAAGTTGGGTTGAGGTCGGGTGATTTTGGAGGCCAGGTCATCTGATGCAGCACTCCATCACTTTCCTTGGTCAAATAGCCCTCACACAGCCTGGAGGTGTGTTTTGGGTCATTGTCCTGTTGAAAAACAAATGAAAGCCTCACTATGCGCAAACCAGATGTGATGGCGTATCGCTGCAGAATGCTGTGGTTGCCATGCTGGTTAAGTGTGCCTTGAATTCTAAATAAATCACTGACAGTGTCACCAGCAAAGCACCCCCACACCACCACACCTCCTCCTCCATGCTTCACGGTGGGAACCAAAAATTTGGACTCATCAGACCAAAGGACAGATTTCTACCGGTCTAATGTCCATTGCTCGTGTTTTTTGGCCCAAGCAAGTCTCTTCTTATTATTGGTGTCCTTTAGTAGTGGTTTCTTTGCAGCAATTCGACCACGAAGGCCTGATTCACACAGTCTCCTCTGAACAGTTGATGGTGAGATGTGTCTGTTACTTGAACTCTGTGAAGCATTTATTTGGGCTGCAAACTGAGGTGCAGTTAACTCTAATGAACTTATCCTCTGCAGCAGAGGTAACTCTGGGTCTTCCTTTCCTGTGGCGGTCCTCATGAGAGCGAGTTTCATCATAGTGCTTGATGGTTTTTGCGATTGCACTTGAAGAAACTTTAAAAGTTCTTGGCATTTTCCAGATTGATTGACCATGTCTTAATGTTATGGTGGACTGTCGTTTCTCTTTGCTTATTTGAGCTGTTCTTGCCATAATATGGACTTTATATTTTACCAAATAGGGCTGTCTTCTCTATACCACCCCTACCTTGTCACAACACAACTGATTGGCTCAAATGCAATAAGAAGGAAAGAAATTCCACAAATTAACTTTGAACAAGGCACACCTGTTTATTGAAATGCATTCCAGGTGACTACGTCATGAAGCTGGTTGAGAGAATGCCAAGAGTGTGCAAAGCTGTCATCAAGGCAAAGGGTGGCTATTTGAAGAATCTCAAATATAAAATATATTTAGATTTGTTTAACTATTTTTTTGGTTACTACATGATTCCATATGTGTTATTTCATAGTTTTGATGTCTTCACTATTATTCTACAATGTAGAAAATAGAAAAAATAAAGAAAAGCCCTTGAATGAGTAGGTGTGTCCAAACGTTTGACTGGTACTGTATCTACAACACAAAATCCATGTGTACGTGTGTGTATAGTGCGTATGTTATCGTGTGTGTATGCATGTGTCTTTGCCTGTGTTTGTGTCTCTTCACAGTCCCCACTGTTCCTTAAGGTGTATTTGTATCTGTTTTTTAAATACAATTTTACTGCTTGCATGAGTTACTTGATGTGGAATAGAGTTCCATGTAGTCATGGCTCTATGTAGTACTGTGCGCTTCCCATGTTCTGGACTTGGGGACTGTGAAGAGATCTCTAGTGGCATGTCTTGTGATGAATGCATGGGTGTCCGAGCTGCGTGCTAGTAGTTCAAACAGACAGCTCGGTGCATTCAACAAGTCAATACCTCTCACAAATACAAGTAGTGATGAAGTCAATCTCTCCTCCACTTTGAGCCAGGAGAGATTGACATGCATATTATTAATGTTAGCTCTCTGTGTACATCCAAGGGCCAGCCGTGCTGCCCTCTTTGTGGCACCTGACCACACGACTAAACAGTAGTCCAGGTGCGACATAACTAGGGCTTGTAGGACCTGCTTTGTTGATTGTGCTGTTAAGAAGGCAGAGCAGCGCTTTATTATGGAAAGACTTCCCCCCATCTTAGATACTGTTGTATCAGTATGTTTTGACCATGACAGTTTACAATCCAGGGTTACTCCAAGCAGTTTAGCCACCTCGACTTGCTCAATTTCCACATTATTCATCACAAGATTTAGTTGAGATTTAGGGTTTAGTGAATGATTTGTCCCAAATACAATGCTTTGAGTTTCGAAATATTTAGGACTAACTTATTCCTTGACACCCATTCTGAAACTAACTGCAGCTCTTTGTTAAGTGTTGCAGTCATTTCAGTCACTGTAGTAGCTGACGTGTATAGTGTTGCGTCATCCGCATACATAGAAACACTGGCTTTACTCAAAGCCAGTGGCATGTCGTCAGTAAAGATTGAAAAAAATAAGGCGCCTAGACAGCTTCCATGGGGAATTCCTTATTCTACCTGGATTATGTTGGAGAGGCTTCCATTAAAGAACACCCTCTGTGTTCTGTTAGACAGTTAACTCTTTATCCACAATATAGCAGGGGGTGTAAAGCCAGGGGTTGTAAAGCCATAAGCCATAAGTCTTTCCAGCAGCAGACTATGATCGATAATGTAAAAAGCCGCACTGAAGTCTAACAAAACAGCCCCCACAATATTTTTTATCATAACTTTTTCTCAGCCAATCATCAGTCATTTCTGTAAGTGATGTGCTTGTTGAATGTCCTTCCCTATATGTGTGTTGAAAGTCTGTCGTCAATTTGTTTACTGTAAAATAGCATCGTATCTGGTCAAACAATTTTTTTCTCCAAAAGTTTACTAAGGGTTGGTAACAGGCTGATTGGTCGGCTATTTGAGCCAGTAAATGGGGCTTTACTATTCTTAGGTAGCGGAATGAGGGCACACACTTTCTAGGAGGCTTAAATTGAAGATATGGCACTTTGTGACAACTGCTCCTCTATATATACACGTTTGATTGATTGACTTCTTCCTCATTTTCTATTTTCCTCATCTCATCTGTTCGTCTCTGTTTTCTTTATTCTGGTTTCTGCCTCTCTGTCAATCTACTTGTCGATATCTTTCTGGGCCAAGTCAAACAGAGACGTTTTTTAACATGACTTTTAGACTCTTTAGTCAAACTCCCCACTAAAACAAACAGAGTCAGCTAACGTACCCGTAAGGCTGAGGGGCTGTGATATACAAAGTGAGGTCTTAAAGTCTTACACAGCAGGTTCATTCACCATAGTCTCTCCTGTCCAATCACAGTCATGGACTGGGTCTATTCAACACTCTGGTGAGTCTACTGTTGTTATTTCTATTGTTGTTTTCCATGTCTCCCCTGCTTGGATTCAAGCTGTCGTAATATTACTAAACAGATGTTGAGTTACAGTGATTTACACCCATATTAAGTATGAATTATGAGATCATAATACTTTTTGTACGGTATGTCTCAACATGATTATTTTATGATGAGACACACTCAGTCTCAAATATCCCCTTCCCAACATATTGTGTGTCCAGGCTGCTGGGTGTGTCTGTGTGTGAGTTTTGGGTTCCAGTCTCTTCTACAGTGATTGGCTGTGGGGAACCTGAACCGTTGCTGAATGGAAGGGTGAAGGTCATATCTGGCTCTCAGAACCAGCACCTCTCAGTCATTCAGTACCACTGCAATGAGCCGTTCTACACTCTTCCTGAAGTGGCTAAAAGTCAGACTAAAATCATCCTTATATTCTTCACTACAGTGACATCGGTTTTCAACCTGCAAGTCTCTAATATTTTGTAAATTAAACAACTGCAACTATTCAATGCCTAATGTATGTATCGTGTAATCACATCTCTCTCACACGTTTATCAGGAAACTTCACATGCTCATCAGACGGAAAGTGGAAAGACAGCCTGAAAAGCTCACTGATTCCTCAATGTATTCCAGGTAACTCAGAGTTTCACCCTTGAGTGTGTGTGTGTGTTTGTGTCTACTGTGTATCGTATTTGTTCTTTCCCTGTGTGTGTATCTACAGTCAGTCTGTTCCTGGATGACCAGTAGGGGTCTCTGTCTGTCCCTAGTGTGTGGTCATCCTACAGTGAACCTCCCAGGGTTTGGAAGGATTTGGGGGGGAAAGCCAGCTCCAGCTGGATCCTTCCCCTGGCAGGTGTTGCTGAGCGCTAATGGTAGAGGAGGAGGGATAGTGATCGGGGACCGCTGGATCATGACTGCAGCACATGTCCTGCATGGACATACCTGGCAAGACGTTAGGGTGAGACGAGTGTGTATTAATGAAAATAAAAGCATGGGTTATCTTTTTGACATGGCCCCTTATCTGTGTCTGTGCTAGATGTACACTCCCCCTCCGTATGTATTTCACAGTGAAGCAAAATAAAATGTGGACTTCATACTCCAGCATTTCGGATTTGAGATCAAATGTTTCATATGAGGCCAGAGTACAGAATGTAACCTTTTATTACAGGGTCCAGAAATGAAAGCACTTTATGTATCTAGTCCCCCCATTTGAAGATGTCATAAGTATTGGGACAAATTCACTTATAGTGTATTACAGTAGTCAAAAGTTTAGTATTAGGTCCCATATTCCTCGCATGCAATGACTACATCAAGCTTGTGATTCTACACACTCATTAGAGGCATTTGCAGTTTATTTTGGTTGTATTTTGGGTTATGTTTTGCCCAATAGGAACTGAATGGGGAATGATGACTGGAGTAAAATTCTTTCTAAGTGAGTAGATAAGATGTTTCTGAATACTTCTAAATGAATCCTGATGATACCATGATTACAACAATCATTAATCATGAATAATGATGAATGAGAAAGAGGTGACAACAAAACATGCTAACCTCTCACCATTACCAATAACGGGGGAGATTAGCACTTTCTGGGGGGGGGGTATGATCTTTGTCCCTCTAACTTCCTCACTTTTCATCATTCACAATTAATTCATGATTATCCACAATCATTGTAGCATCCACATTAATGTAAATGTATTCTTATTTACAATAAAAGGGACTCCGAAATGACACAATACATTATTCACCATATAGTTCCTATTGGGCAAAATATATTCTGAAACACAACCAAAACAAGCTGTAAATGCATCCAACAAGTTCGTAAAGTCACAAGCTTGATGTAGTCATTGTGTGCAAAGAATATGGGACCATCTACTAAACTTTTGACTACTTTAATAAGTGAATTTGTCCAAATACTTATTTAATCTTCAAATGGGGGGGACTATATGTATAAAGTGTTTTCATTTCTAAATGGTAAAAAATATATGTATGAAAATACCCTCAAATAAAAGGTAACATTCTGTACTGTCACCTAATATAAAACATTTGATCTCAAATCTAAAATGCTCAAGTATAGAGCCACATTTAGAATTTTTGCTTCACTCTCCAAATCCAATGGAAAAATGACTGTCTGACTGCTGTTTAAGTGTATTTATTAAATGTGATTTACCCTGTCCAAAGGTATATGTTGGAGACAACAATGTGCAAAACCTCACCCAGTCTCCACCTCTTGAGGTCGCCTCTCTCCATCTTCACCCTGAATACAACAACGTAGATGGTGTAGAGTATGACCATGACATCGCCCTGATCCATCTCCAACACCCAATCACATTCAATGCTCATGTCATGCCACTGTGTCTGCCAGCAAAGGACGCTAAATACCCGACTGGGCGGAATGGGTAAGCCTAGGTTTTATGTTTAAAACAGTCAACTACAAATATCTGCATGTTAACAATTTATTCAATTTGTGGATATTTGCTGATTTTGTATTGATTGTTAAAATTGTTAAGTTGAACAGCATCTTATGTTTATTCCGTTCTTCTCTCTTTCTCTCTGCTTCAGCTTGGTGTCAGGATTTGGCACCATGGAGTTTGATACATCTACCAATAACCTCATGTATGTTCCTCTACCTGTGGTGAACCAGACAATCTGTAGAAAGTCTATTGAAGGCAGAGATGAAAGGAAAGGAATTCCCAGTCTAACAGACAACATGTTCTGTGCTGGGAATCCTGAGGGAGGCAAGGACTCCTGTCAGGGGGACAGTGGAGGGGCGTACGTCCTGCGAAAAGCAGGAATCCTTCCTGGGCCTTTCTGGGCAGCAGGAATCGTCAGCTGGGGTGTTGAATGTGGACAGAGTGGAAGCTATGGGGTCTACACTCGTGTGGCTAACTACGTAGACTGGATCAAGAAGACCATAGAGGAGGAAGAGCAAAAAACAAGTGAGAAACATTCTAAAATATAGATATTATGGATGTGTTTGTGTGTTTTGTTGTTTTGTGCGTGTGCTTTGGCTGTGTGCTTTTCTACAGTAATATTGGACCCAATGTGGAATCTGAACCATTGCTGAGAGGAGAAGTGACATTTTGTGCTTTTCCTGATCCACCAGTCTGTGGAAGACCCATGGTGTCCATAGAAATGCACCAAAGGATTCTGGGAGGAGAGGTAGCTCCAAAAGGAACATTTCCCTGGCAGATGCTTCTCAGTGTGGAAGGAGGCCGATCAGGAGGGATGGTCATCGGGGACAGGTGGATCCTGACTGCTGCTCATGGACTGGTGCATCAACATAACAACCAAGTCATCAAGAAGAGTGAAGTTATGGTAGTGCAATAATGATTATGGTGGTGTTTACATAATGACTAGGGCCAGGAGTTTCTTCTGATTATCTCTGGTCCTGAATTATAGGCTTATCATAGAAAAACTCCTGGCCCTACATCTGAGATGATGACAAAGATTGAGCAAGGAGTGGAGAGACAATAAACATGCTTCTGGATGCTCATAGTTGAAGAAACTACTATTTCCACCCAGTAGTTAAATGCAGTAACTGACTGAAATTCACACACATTTTCCTTCACTTCATAACAGGCATTCGTTGGCAACAACAATGTGGAAAACCTCCTTCAGTCTCCACCTCTTGAAGTGGCCTCTCTCCATCCTCACCCTGGGTACAACAACACAGACGGTTTATCCTTCAACCACGACATTGCCTTGATCAAGCTCCAACACCCACTCACATTCAGTAGTTCCATCATGCGAGTGTGTCTGCCTGCAAAGGGTGCTGAATACTCCACTGGACGAGTTGGGTAAGAGTAGGCTCTCCTGTACAGTAAATGTTTGATCTTTGACAGTATAGTTATTGGGCATTCTCTGTTTCTGTTTTTTTTTTTTTTAAATCCTAAAACTACCTCAATGCAATGGAAACAGAAGCTATGATAGTGCATGTGTCATTTCTCTCTCTCTAGCCCTGTTTATACTTGGTTCTAACTTGCATCTTTTGTCCTGATCTTGTCCACATTCTGATTGAGCCCACATTTTTGGACAGGTGTAGACAATCAAAATACATATTGTGATCTGATTGTGATCAGATCATCCTGCCCACCTCCGGAGGTAGTCAGACACACATTGTGTCTGGACATCTTACAAGTGTAGACAGATCTGGACAGAGAAACCATTTAAACCATCATTATTCTGCCCTCTAAAATCATGGACAGACATTGACTGTATGTGTCTTAGAATAAATAAATATTATTTTGAAAGAATAGCTGTGTAATAATTTGCATAAAGGAAGGGACCAGGAAATCTGGTCACAATGCAGACACAGTGGACGGATAACAAACACATTTTAATAGCATGTGTAGCACAGGAGGTTGGTGGCATCTTAATTGGGGAGGACGGGCACGTGGTAATGGCTGGAGCAGAATCAGTGGAAAGGTATCAACAACATCAAACACATGGTTTCCATGTGTTTGATGTCATTCTATTCGCTCCGTTCCAGCCATTATTATGAGTCGTCCTCCCCTCAGCAGCCTCCACTGATGTGTAGACACATTTCTGGAAATGTGGGCACAATCAGAATGTAGACAAGATCAGGACAAAGGAGCCATGTTAGCACCAGGTATAAACGGGGCTTTTCTCTCTTTCTCTCCCTCCCTCCCTCTCACAGCTGGGTTTCAGGGTTTGGCCTCAAAGATGATGATGAAATGCCCAGTAACCTCAGGTATGTCCGGATTCCCCTGGTGGACCAGGTGAAGTGCAGAAGCTCTATTGATGAGGTGAGGAAGAAGAAGAGAGAAGCCCCTGATTTGACAGACAGCATGTTCTGTGCCGGGTTACCAGAGGGTGGAAAGGACACCTGTGCAGGGGATGGTGGAGGGCCGTACGTCCTGAAGTATGGGGGAGTTTTCTGGGCAGCAGGGATCGCCAGCTGGGGAATTGACTGTGGAGAGCCAGGCCAATATGGGGTCTATACCCGCGTAGCTAACTACGTAGAATGGATCAAGAAGACCATGGAGGATAATTGAAATGATGGGTGTATAAATTATGCAAGAAATGTTTGAGTTTGTCGAGGATAGCAGTAAATATAAAATATAAACATGTTTTTTATTAAATTAATGCTTTTCTGTAACTGAAGCATATTTAATACATTTGAAGTCTGTCTTTTTAACATTCCATTATTTGTATTATCAACTGTATAGCCCATTTTAATACACTGAGTGTACAAAACATTAGGAACACCTGCTCCTTCCATGACATACAGTGCATTCGGAAAGTATTCAGACCCCTTGACTTTTTCCACATTTTGTTACGTTACAGCCTTACTCTAAAATGGATTAAACATAATACATTCCTCATCAATCTACACACAATATCCCATAATGATGAAGCAAAAACCGTTTTTTTTTGCAAATGTATTACAAATACAAAACAGAAATACTTAACTATTCAGACCCTTTGCTATGAGACTCGAAATTGAGCGCAAGGTGCATCCTGTTTCCATTGATCATCCTTGAGATGTTTCTACAACTTGATTGGAGTCCACTTGTGGTAAATTCAATTGACTGGACATGATTTGGAAAGGCACACACCTGTCTATATAAGGTCCCACAGTTGAAGGGTACCAAAACATTTCTGCAGCACCGAAGGTCCCCAAGAACACAGTGGCCTCTGTCATTCTTAATTGGAAGAAGTTTGGAACCACCAAGACTCTTCCTAGAGCTGGCCGCCCGGCCAAACTGAGCAATCGGGGGAGAAGGGCCTTGGTCAGGGAGGTGACCAAGAACCCGATGGTCACTCTGACAGCTCCAGAGTTCCTCTGTGGGGATGGGAGAACCTTCCAGAAGGACAACCATCTCTGCAGCACTCCACCAATCAGGCCTTTATGGCAGAGTGGCTAGACGGAAGCCACTCATCAGTAAAATGCTCACGACAGCCCGCTTGGATTTGCCATAAGGCACCTAAAGGACTCTCAGACCATGAAAACCAAGATTTCTGGTCTGATGAAACCAAGATTGAACTCTTTGGCTTGAATAACAAGTGTCACATCTGGAGGAAACCTGGCACCATCCCTACGGTGAAGCATGGTGGTGGCAGCATCATGCTGTGGGGATGTTTTTCAGCGGCAGAGACTGGGAGACTAGTCAGGATCGAGGGAAAGATGAACTGAGTAAAGTACAGAGAGATCCTTGATGAAAACCTGCTCCAGAGCGCTCAGGACCTCAGACTGGGGCGAAGGTTCACCTTCCAACAGGACAACGACCCTAAGCACACAGCCAAGACAACGCAGGAGTGGCTTCGGGACAAGTCTCTGAATGTCCTTGAGTGGCCCAACCAGAGCCCGGACTAGAACCAGATCGAACATCTCTGGAGAGACCTGAAAATAGCTGTGCAGCGACACTCCCCATCCAACCTGACAGAGCTTGAGAGGATCTGCAGAGAAGAATGGGAGAAACTCCCCAAAGATTGATGAAGGAAATAAATAAAAAAATCAATTTTAGAATAAGGCTGTAACGTAACAAATTGTGGAAAAAGTCAAGGGGTCTTAATACTTTCCGAATGCACTGTGGACTGACCAGGTGAAAGCGATGAACCCTTATTGATGTCACCTGTTCAATCCACTTCAATCAGTGTAGATGAACGGCAGGAGACAGGTTCAAGAAGGATTTTTAAGCCTTGAGACAATTGAGACATGGATTGTGCATGTGTGCCATTCAGAGGATGAATGGGCAAGACAAAATATTTAAGTGCCTTTGAACGGGGTATGGTAGTGGGTGCCAGACGCCCCGGTTTGAGTGTGTGAAGAACTGCAACGCTGTTTCCCATGTGTATCAAGAACGGTCCACCACCCAAAGGACCATCCAGCCAACTTGACACAACTGTGGGAAGCATTGGAGTCAACATGGGCCAGCATCCCTGTGGAACGCTTTTGACACCTTGTAGAGTCCATGCCCCGACGAATTGAGGCTATTCTTAGGGCAACTCAATATTAGGAAGGTGTTCCTAATGTTTTGTGCACTTAGTGTATATTTTATATAGGAATTTTATCTTGATCACATTGCACATTGAGAAAAATTAATTGGATTTCCAGCAAAACATCTGTATTATGTACAGTACAATACTAGCATGGGGATTTATCAATTAGTCAAATCCATGATAATTTAATCAATACAATTGCAAGGTTTTTTCTAATACATAAATTGTTTATGATTTTTTAAATAACTGTTTAAATGTCAAAGTTGTGGAAGAGACGTTTTCTTTTGACATTTTGGTGACCTTTATTCAGATCATGGCAGTTGGTTTAGAAACATGGTCAACAATCACTCCAGATCAATGTCTGAAAAACATCCTTAGTTAGTGGGCAACATCTGCAAAGATGCAGCTATCCTTCCCATCACCCCCTGCACAGAACATGTTCTCAGTGAAAACCATTGGCTTGTTAATAGACAATAATAATAAGCCATTTAGCAGACGCTTTTATCCAAAGCGACTTACAGTCATGTGTGCATACATTTTTGTGTATGGGTGGTCCCGGGGATCGAACCCACTACCTTGGCGTTACAAGCACCGTGCTCTACCAGCTGAGCTACAGAGGACCACAGACAACACAGGTGTGTCCTCACACTTACTTTGGGAGTATCTTCCCACAGCTGTGTGAAGCAAGAAGCGCTTTTATCCAGAATTTTGGTTTCAGCTCTATTCTCTGTCACACCAAACCCTGAAACAGTGCCTTGTTGACCCTCTTTGAATCCTCCATCAGCCTCAGCCAGGCATATGGGGAGAACATTGGGCCCTAACTTCACCCTGGAAGACATTCTGATGAGAGCTATGTCGTTGTCGTAGTTAGTGCGTTCCTCACCAGCTATGCCCTTCATGTAGTCAGGGTGAATGATGATCTTCTCTGTTACCATGACAACCACGTCAGGATCAGTTTATTTTGCTTTGCCCTATCTATCAGCCCCCCGAAAAGACTAGCTGCTGTGATGGCCCACCGGTCATTGATCAGGGATGCTCCTCCTCTTTTGGAATGTTTTGAGAGAAGCTGCCAGGGTATCTCTCCCATCTTCGCTGGTCTGCCTCCCACATTTCTGCCAATGCTGAGACTACTTGTTTCTGCTGTCCACACACTATAAGATAGACAATTCAGATGAGTGTCTGAAAAACATCCTTAGATAGTGGGCAACATCTGCAGAGATGAAACTATACTTTATGGCAATCAATACCTGCGATGCATTTCGGCAACTTTTCTAGACCATTAACTGATCTCCAGATACCATCGGAATCACAGATGTACTTCTCTAAAAGAACAGAAGAGAGGTGTGGTGGTGAACAACGATTCTGCGATGATGTGTTGATAAGAAATCCGCTGACACTGTACTTGATTATAAAGGTTTATAGAGCGTCTGCTAAATGACTAAAATGTAAATGTATATATAAAAGATTTCAGCATCAATTTACAGACTCTGCAGAATCTGGAGAGCAACGAAACCAATCCCAAATATGATCACTCTCCCTCCTTTTGTTAAAACATGGTATATATATCCTATGCTTCATGTAACATAAGATGGCGTGATTTGAATAGACCAATCCCTGGCCTCCACATATCCGAATCTCCACTGTTTTAGGGGGCCCCTATAGTAACACTTTCCAGATGTTTCAGCAAAGTAGAGTAAAGTTCATCTAACCAACAATATGAAAACGTCAGATACTACAGAGGTAAAAACAGAGGTTGAGCAGTCAGAAACATTGTGCAAGGAAGGACACAGAAAGCATGGGAAAGGTCAAATACTAGACTAGTGAGTTGTGGCAGTTGGTGAACAAAACAAACATGATTTCCGCCCACCGTCTCCCTCCAATGTGTAGTATTTGGATTCACACTTGAACTGGACCTCGTCATGAAACAACAGAGTGCTTGGATTTGGCTCTACCAGTTGAAGGGCCTGATCACTAGAAGTGTCTGGTATTCTGCAATATCCAACTAAAGTGAGGAAAGAAACATGCCGTTTTGGAACAAAAAACAATAGAAAACATATGCCCACAGGAGCTTCCCACTGGGCACACACTGGTTAAATCAACATTGTTTCCACGTCATTTCAATGAAATTACGTTTAACCAACGTGGAACAGACGTTGAATTGACCTCTGTGCCCAGTGGGTTGTTTCTCACTCATACTTTGTCCGTCCCTTATAGTGTTCTTGATCCAGTCTAGGTAGTTAGCCACACGAGAGTAGACCCCATATCTTCCAGGCTCTCCACAGTTAATCCCCCAGCTGACGATCCCTGCTGCCCAGAAATGATCACCCTCCTTCAGGACGTACGCCCCTCCACTGTCCCCCTGACAGGAGTCCTTGCCTCCCTCAGGATTCCCAGCACAGAACATGTTGTCTGTTAGACTGGGAATTCCTTTCCTTTCATCTCTGCCTTCAATAGACTTTCTACAGATTGTCTGGTTCACCACAGGTAGAGGAACATACATGAGGTTATTGGTAGATGTATCAAACTCCATGGTGCCAAATCCTGACACCAAGCTGAAGCAGAGAGAAAGCGAGAAGAAAGGAATATACATAAGATGCTGTTCAACTTAACAATTTTAACAATCAATACAAAATCAGCAAATATCCACATATTGAGTAAATTGTTAACATGCAGATATTTGTAGTTGACTGTTTTAGACATAAAACCTAGGCTTACCCATTCCGCCCAGTCGGGTATTTAGCGTCCTTTGCTGGCAGACACAGTGGCATGACATGAGCATTGAATGTGATTGGGTGTTGGAGATGGATCAGGGCGATGTCATGGTCATACTCTACATCATCTACGTTGTTGTATTCAGGGTGAAGATGGAGAGAGGCGACCTCAAGAGGTGGAGACTGGGTGAGTTTTTAAACATTGGTTTCTCCAACATATACCTTTGGAAAGGGTAAATTAATTACATTTAAGGGACAGTTAGGAAATTACTGGGGTGAGGGGTTGGTCCAAAATAGGGGATGGTTGTCTAATTTCGTTTTTTTGCTTTGGGGAGGGTTGTGTGGTTTTTTATTGGGCACAGGGGAGAGTAGTGCATTTTTTCCCAGGTTTATATGCAGCCTTTTAATGTATAATTTCTTCCATCCTAGCCAAATTACCTTGCATTGCGCCTCCCCTACCAAAGGTGTTTTGGTACTTCCCTTGTGCACTACACTTTTCCATGTGCTAACTATACCACCGGTCAATATACTGTAGTCTACCAGTCTAACTACCCTCTAGTACATTTATACCATTTAGCAGACACTCTTATCCAGAGCAACTTACAGTTAGTGCATACATTTTTTTTCTATATATATTTCTTTTCATACTGGTCCCCCCATGCGCCACCCATGGGTCTCCCGGTCGCGGCCGGCTACGACAGAGCCTGGATTCGAACCAGGATCTCTAGTGGCACAGCTAGCACTGCGATGCAGTGCCTTAGACCACTGCGCCACTATTTATAGTGACAATCGTGGTAGGTGGATCGTTTGTCCAGATTTGAAATATGCTTACTAGCAATCATACCACACATAAAATCTTTCAAAGCTGCACCAATTTTCAAGATAAATCCACAAGAACAAGGAAGTATTACTGATAGGCAGCGGAGAGGCCAGGTGCGCCTTTGCGCATGAAAGAACAATGAAGACATGAGACAAGCATCTCAAAAAGTTTCCATATTGATCTTGCTTAAGAACGATACAATTATCTACACTAGCCTGCAACACCACAATGCAATGAATCATTTGATTATTGTTTTCAAGTCAGTGCAAAATTCTACTCTAGGCTGTAAACTGCAGTGATAATATAATTTGAAAAAAGGTGCAAAAGCCCTGTGATTTGAATGTTTCATTCCATTCATTCGATTTGGATCAGTTGTGGGTCTACTCTCAACAGTTTAAAAGATCTAGAAAGGCACATTAGCAGGCCAGTAGCAGGTCAGTATACTTCTGATACTGAGATGCGCTGTCTGTTGTGGATCATCATTCTCCCAAGTCATCCTATAATAATGTGTCCACATATGCTCCCAGCAGGCCCAGTTATTCAGGAAAGCTTAAAGACATCCTCCAGCGATTGTTTTACTTTTACTGTTGATAAGCGATATCTCAAGTATAAATACATTAAAGTACACACACTAAAGGGCAAAATATTATATATGTTTTACACAACTGCAAAGTTCAAGGAGTAGGGCATTCAAGGAGTTGATGGGTCTGATGGGAAGTCGTGATGTCATCGGCCTCCCCCCTTGCTTGAGGAACAATCCTTTTCACCTCATTTAACACCTGATTTATTTAACAAAAGTCACATCTCAATAGGTGGTCCAGGTAAGTCATGACATGGCACAAGTGGGGGGGGGTGGCCTTTCCTCTTTTGTTCTCTATTGCTCCTCTATTGTTCCGCAAGCAAGGGGGGAGACCGATGACATCACGGATTCCCATTAGACCCATCAACTCCTTGAATGCCCTACTCCTTGAAGTATGCAGTTGTGTCTAAAAAACACTATTTTGCGCAAAACATATTTTTTTACCCTTTAGTGTGTGTACTTTACTGTACTTATACTTGGGATGTCGCTTTTCAACAGTAAAAGTTAAAAAATCGCTGGAGGGCGTCATTAATGCTCTGTCTCCTCTCCGATCCGAATGGCTATTCCAAGCCTTCAATACTGGGTACAAGGTAGGGAGGGATGTTTACACCTGGTGCTAACAAGGGTTCTTTGTCCTGATCTTGTCTACATTCTGATTGTGCCCGTATTTCCAGAAATGTGTCTACACATGCTATTAAAATGTGTCTGTTATCCGTCCACTGTGTCTGCATTGTGACCAGATTTCTTGGTCCCTTCCTTTATGCAAATTATACTGAACAAAAATATAAATGCAACATGCAACAATTTCAAAGATTTCACTGAGTTACAGTTCATATAATGAAATCAGTCAATTGAAATAAATAAATTAGGCCCTAATCTATGGATGTCACATGACTGGGAATACAGATATGCATCTGTTGGTCACAGATACCTTAAAAGAAATGGGCCTCAAAATGGGCCTCAGGATCTTGTCACGGTATTTCTGTGCATTCAAATTGCCATCGATAAAATACAATTATGTTCATTGTACGTAGCTTATCTCTGCCCATACCATATCCCCACCACGACCATGGGGCACTCTGTTCACAACGCTGACATCAGCAAACCGCTCGCCCACACAACGCCATACACGAGGTCTGCAGTTTTGAGGCCGGTTGGACGTACTGCCAAATTTTCTAAAACGACGTTGGAGGCAGCTTATGGTAGAGCAATTAATATTAAATTCTCTGGCAACAGCTCTGGTGGACATTCCTGCAGTCAGCATGCCAACTTGAGACATCTGTGGCATTGTGTTGTGACAAAACTGCACATTTTAGAGTGGCCTTTATTGTCCCCAGCACAAGGTGCACCTGTGCAATTATCATGCTTTTTAATCAGCTTTTGGATATGCCACACCTGTCAGGTGGATGGATTATCTTGGCAATGGAGAAATGCTCACTAACAGCAATGTAAACAAATGTGTGCACACATTTGAGAGAAATACACTTTTTGTGCGTATGGAAAATTTCTGGGATCTTTTATTTCAGCTCATGAAACATGTTGCGTTTAAATTTCTGTTCAGTGTATTTCACAGATATTCTTTCAAAAATATTATTAATTTATTTCTTGCAAGACACATATTGATGTAATCAGTCAATGCTGCCACCTGTCAATTATTTTAAAAGGCAGAAAATTGTTTATTTAAATGGTTTCTCTGTCCAGATCTGAAACCGAGCTGAAGTGGAAAAGTCAATATCCACGTTTATAAATACAGTTTTGATAATTGTGGTCATAAACATTATTTTGAGTTTATTCAATGGGGGGGGGGGGATGCTTTTTTTTATGACACCTGGAGTTGGACCAACCCCCCCCCCCCCCCAGTAATTATCTGTCCCTAATCAGCAGTCAGACAGTCATTTTCTAACTCTCCCTAAATAGCAGTCAGACGAGCGGGTCCGGATCTCTAAATAGTGTGTGTCAGTGGCGGTCAGTGCCGTTTAAGGTGAGGGAGGACTAATTTATTTTTCATGAGCATGGCCTTATTTCTATTACAGCATATTGGATGACTGTCATTCATATTCCATTCACCCAGTTCAATGGAACAGCCATAGGTTTAGGCTACTACATCATACTCTAATTTTCCCTATACCCATCTTGAGTTTTTAAAAATTTTTATTTAACTAGGCAAGTCAGTTAAGAACAAATTCTTATTTACAATGACGGCCTACCCCGACCAAACCCAGACGACGCTGGGCCAATTGTGCGCCGCCCTATGGGACTCCCAATCACGTCCGGATTGTGATACAGCCTGGAATCAAACCAGGGTCTGTAGAGACGCCTCTAGCTCTGAGATGCAGTGCCTTAGACCGCTGCACCATTCAGGAGCCCCTTGCTACAACCTAGCCTATGAATGAAAGTTTACAACGTACGTGTACACAGGTCGAGATAAAAATGTGATGTGACACATGGACAGACAGTGACACATTCAATACCGCCTTGCACACTCTTGCCTGCATCTAGCTGATATAGGGTGTAATCATTAGTCCAGCAGTTGCAAACAAGAGTTTCTATTGGACAAATTCAGATATGTTTATCCAATTTTTTTCTGTTTAAGAAACGTCTTTCAACAGCGGAATAAATACAACCTTTTCATAACTGCCACGTTGTATTCCTTCTCGCATCTATGCGCTCTCCTCCTCTCATCTTTTCCCTTCGTCGCTTGTGGACGTCAGTGCACAACATTTACATTTTTACATTTACGTCATTTAGCAGACGCTCTTATCCAGAGTGACTTACAAATTGGTGCATTCACCTTATAGCCAGTGGGACAACCACTTTACAATATGTATTTTTTTTGGGGGGGGGGGGTGGGGTAAGGGGGGTAGAAGGATTACTTTATCCTATCCCAGGTATTCCTTAAAGAGGTGGGGTTTCAAGTGTTTCCGGAAGGTGGTGAGTGACTCCGCTGTCCTGGCGTCGTGAGGGAGCTTGTTCCACCATTGGGGTGCCAGAGCAGCGAACAGTTTTGACTGGGCTGAGCGGGAACTGTGCTTCCGCAGAGGTAGGGGGGCCAGCAGGCCAGAGGTGGATGAACGCAATGCCCTCGTTTGGGTGAAGGGACTGATCAGAGCCTGAAGGTACGGAGGTGCTGTTCCCCTCACAGCTCCGTAGGCAAGCACCATGGTCTTGTAGCAGATGCAAGCTTCAACTGGAAGCCAGTGGAGTGTGCGGAGGAGCGGGGTGACGTGAGAGAACTTGGGAAGGTTGAACACCAGATGGGCTGCGGCATTCTGGATGAGTTGTAGGGGTTTAATGGCACAGGCAGGGAGCCCAGCCAACAGCGAGTTGCAGTAATCCAGACGGGAGATGACAAGTGCCTGGATTAGGACCTGTGCCGCTTCCTGTGTAAGGCAGGGTCGTACTCTCCGATTGTTGTAGAGCATGAACCTACAGGATCGGGTCACCGCCTTGATGTTAGCGGAGAACGACAGGGTGTTGTCCAGGGTCACGCCAAGGCTCTTCGCACTCTGGGAGGAGGACACAACGGAGTTGTCAACCGTGATGGCGAGATCATGGAACGGGCAGTCCTTCCCCGGGAGGAAGAGCAGCTCCGTCTTGTCAAGGTTCAGCTTGAGGTGGTGATCCGTCATCCACACTGATATGTCTGCCAGACATGCAGAGATGTGATTTGCCACCTGGTTATCAGAAGGGGGAAAGGAGAAGATTAGTTGTGTGTCGTCTGCATAGCAATGATAGGAGAGGCCATGTGAGGATATGACAGAGCCAAGTGACTTGGTGTATAGCGAGAATAGGAGAGGGCCTGGGGGACACCAGTGGTGAGAGCACGTGGTGCGGAGACAGATTCTCGCCACGCCACTTGGTAGGAGCGACCGGTCAGGTAGGACGCAATCCAAGAGTGAGCCGCGCCGGAGATGCCCAGCTCGGAGAGGGTGGAGAGGAGGATCTGATGGTTCACAGTATCAAAGGCAGCACAACTCAACACATTAGCTTTCCAAGCCAAACCATATCATAACTGCTACACACAGCCTACATCGTTGTCACCATATTAGCTAATGTAACATCATAGTCAATATAGCTAATAGAACTAACAAGTTACTAAACCTGCTACAATAATGCAGTAATGTTGCAGTGTAAAGTCAGTAAGCAGTTTAACACTTACACTGGTGGGCCCAGGTGGCAATAAATATGTAAAACCAAAAGCTTACCTTGACTTTGAAGAGTTCTAGTGTTGTGTTGGATAGTCAGAGCCAGCTGGCTAACACAGCATCCATCTGTTTGAGCAGGGTGTTTGAGTAGGCTAAACTAGCTAGCTGCATTTGCAAGCTAAGTAAGTGAAGGTTAAAAAAAAAATGAAATCTCTCTCTTTCTCTCTTGCTTCTCCTTCATTTTGGAAGAAATTAATTTGTTAAAAACTGTTCAACTATTGTCTTTCTCCCTCTTTGAGTCAACTACTCACCACATTTTATGCACTGCAGTGCTAGCTAGCTGTATCTTATGCTTTCAGTACTAGATTCATTCTCTGATCCTTTGATTGGGTGGACAACATGTCAGTTCATGCTGCAAGAGCTCTGATAGGTTGGAGGACATCCTCCGGAAGATGTCATAATTACTGTGTAAGTCTATGGAAGGGGGTGAGAACCATGAGCCTCCTGGGTTTTGTATTGAAGTCAATGTACCCAGAGGAGGACGGAAGCTAGCTGTCCTCCGGCTACACCATGGTGCTACCCTACAGAGTGCTGTTGAGGCTACTGTAGACCTTCATTGCAAAATAGTATGTTTTAATCAGTTATTTGGTGACGTGATTATATTTAGTATAGTTTTCCTTTTTTTTCCTTCTGAAAATCACTGAAGAAGATGGTCCTCCCCTTCCTCCTCTAAGGAGCCTCCACTAGTGTACGGGTCTGGGTCGGATCTGATATGATATGATTGTCACGGGTCTCAGGTATGTGTAATTTTAACTGACTTGTCCGGAAGGACCTGTACATATACGAATGTGACTACTGCAGTAGAGAGAGAGACATTTTTTAATTTACACTGCTGCTCTTGCTTTTCACAAGAGTGGAGCGTGGCGCGTGTAGCTTGTTCTTGGCCAATCCAAAGTCTTTAAAGTGTCAATAGGCTACAGTCATAGAGCCTCTGTGTGTGGCAAAAGTTAGGAGATATCTAATCAATGGAAGATGGAATTAAATATAATTAGACATAATTAAAAGTTAAAGGAGAAGGATAGGCTACAACGACCAAGAGCCAACAGGTAGGCTGCTACTTAATATTCTGAATGGAGTTGTTGTTATTTGCACTGCAGCTTCAATTAGCCTAGCTAGCTAACGTTAGCTAGCTTAACTTGATTCTCCCGGTTTGATGCAGTCAAGACAGGTACTACGTAATCATATTTGATGATAAATAACCTAGCTATTGCAGCTTGGTTAGTTGCTGTCTCTTGTCTCTAACTCCCTGCTCCCAGTGTCACTCGCTCACAGTACAGACCCTCCCCCGCCTGCTAGAGTGGCACCTCTCTCTCCCCCCTCACGCTTTATCAGCTCCGGTTAATAAAGTAGATAAAAAAATAGGTCTATACGGTTGTACTCAGGTCCGTTTGGAATGGGTCTCTATATAAATAAATAAAAATTGATTAGGTCTGGGTGGGAAAGCCCCAGGTCCATTTCATAACGGGTCCAACTTTTTGGACCTGTGAAAACCTCTAATATCAAGCACAGACCCAGATGAGCAGCCAAGTCAAAAAGATGACCCATGCTTCTATTTTCTTTAACACACTCACCTCACCCTAACTTCATCACTGGTATTTCCATTCAGGACATGTGCTGCAGTCATGATCCAGCGGTCCCCGATCACTATCCCTCCACCTCTACCATTAGCGCTCAGCAACACCTGCCAGGGGAAGGATCCAGCTGGAGCTAGCTTTCCCCCAACAATCTTTCCAAACCCTGGGAGGTTCACTATATGGCGACCACACACTAGGGACAGAGAGGGACAGAGATACACAAGAGGCACACACAGACAGTGACAGTTGACTAAGGAACACTCACATCCATGTATTCATATTGTACAACACATGTACATTCACACTTACAGACTTAGACAAACACAAATTGGCTCCTTGCTGTATCTTAAAGGATCATTTCAAAATGTTCTCCTTTCCCTTTAAGGAGGGTACATATTTATTATGAGTTACCTGGGATACATTGGGGAATCATATAGTTGTTCTGATCGTCTTTCCACTTGCCTTCCGATGAGCATGTGAAATTAACTATTGAAAGAGAGGTGTCATTAGACTTTTTAAATCGCTGTGAAATATATTTTCAATAGCAAAAAATATTGTTTTAACAGATGTTTGAAGCTGTTGGACCAAAACCAAAATTAAAAGGCTCAAGCATGAGTCTCCGTCGTGTTGCGGGGAAATGGGATGAGGGGGAGGGGTAGGGGGGTTATTTGTTTTGAATGACTTGCGCTTGAGCCATTTACTTTCGTCCACCAGATTCAAACAGTTGTAAAAACAATATTTTTTGCTATTGAAAATATATTTCACAGCGATTTAGATGGTACAATGATTCCCTAAGCTATTCAGTGTGTCACGAATACCGCTGAGGCTGCTCCTCCTCCTTGTTCGGGCAGGCTTCGGCGTTCGTCGTCCCCGGAGTACTAGCTGCCACAGTTTGATGTTTTCGATGTTTGTTTTGTCATGTCTAGTTAAGTGCACCTGTTTCGTATTCTGTCATGATTATGTCACCTATAAGTTTCCCTGTGTTATGTTTTGTAGTTGTGTGTTATTGTCCGCCTGTCGTTTCGAGGTTCGGTACTTTTGTTTGTGAGTGTTTTTACGCATTTTGCGTATTAGTTCGCCTCCGGTGTTTCGAGGCCATTTATTTTGTATTTGTTCAAGTATTTCAGTAAAGTTGTTTTGACTTATCCTCTGTGTCCTGCGCCTGACTTCACCACCGCATCCACATCAGTACCGTGACAGAATAACACACACCTTTACACTATGGAGTCAGCAGGAGCAGCGGCTGGAACCGAGTCGCTGGAGGATCGGGTCAGCTGCCAGGACGCCAGGATCCAGCAACTCGGATCCGCCATGCAAGAAGTAATGAACACCCTGCGCCGATGGGAGAGAGGAGGCTTGCCCACACCTCCTCCTACCTTACCACCACCATCGGCCAGCCCCACCATACCAGCTCCGGAGTCCAGTGGGATTCGGCTCTCGCTCCCGAGGGCATATGATGGCACCGCAGCCGGGTGTCAGGGGTTCCTCCTTCAAGTGGAACTCTACCTGGCAACCATACACCCGGCGCCCTCGGGATACGAGAGCGTTTCCGCCCTCATCTCCTGTCTCTCCGGCAAGGCGTTGGAGTGGGCCAATGCCGAATGGAGGGGAATAGACGCCGCCACCATCAGCTACGCGCAGTTCTCCCGCCGCTTCAGGGCTGTTTTCGATCATCCCCCTGAGGGTAAAGCGGCGGGGGAGCGTCTGTTCCACCTTCGACAGGGGAAGATGAGCGCACAGGAGTTCGCCCTGGACTCTAGCGGCGGATGCGGGGTGGAATGAGAGGGCCCTCATCGACCACTATCGGTGCAGCCTGCGTGAGGACGTTCGACGAGAGTTGGCCTGCAGGGACACCAATCTAACCTTCGACCAGTTGGTGGACATGTCAATCAGTCTGGATACCCTGCTGGCCACCCGCGGACGTCCAGAGTTGGGGCCGTCCATTCCATCTCCCAGCACCTCCGAGCCGAGCCCTATGGAGCTCGGGGTGCTGGCGCTAGAGAGAGGAGGAGAGAGATTCCGAGGGAGGCCGTCCCCTGCACCAACTGTGGTCGTAGAGGACACACTGCGGCTAGGTGCTGGGGAGGGTCTCCAGGGGTTCGAGGCAACAGGTTGCGCACTGGGGAGTCATTCCAGGTGAGTAGGCGCCCAACTCACCCAGAGCTCTCTGTTGTTCACTTTTGTATACCTGTAGTATTTCCTCAGGTTGCATCTCAGTCCCAGCATAAGGCGCTAGTCGATTCAGGCGCAGCTGGGAATTTCATTGATCGTAATTTTTGTGTGAGGTTAGGGATTCCCCTCCTGCCCGTAGATGCACCCTTTCCTATCCATGCCCTAGATAGCCGTCCGTTGGGATCTGGGTTGATTAGGGAGGTCACAGCGCCACTTAAGATGAGGACGCAGGGGGGTCATGAAGAGATTATTCAGTTGTATCTGATCGACTCTCCTGCGTATCCCGTGGTACTGGGGCTTCCTTGGTTAATCGCCCATGACCCCACCATTTCGTGACAACAGAGGGCTCTCAAGGAGTGGTCTGACCAGTGTGTCGGGCGATGTTTAGGTGTTTCTGTAGGGGCGACCACGGTGGAGAGTCCGAACCAGGTGCCCGCAATGCACATTCCCCCTGAGTATGAGGATTTGGCACTCGTGTTCAGCAAGACTAGGGCGACGCGATTGCCACCTCATAGACAGGGAGATTGTGCGATAGACCTCCTGGCGGGTGCGGCACTTCCGCGGAGCCATGTGTATCCCTTGTCTCAAGAGGAGACGGCGGCTATGGAGACATACATAGCCGAGTCTCTGAGACAGAGATACATACGGCCCTCCACTTCCCCTGTATCCTCGAGTTTCTTTTTTGTGAAGAAAAAGGATGGAGGGTTGCGCCCGTGTATTGATTACCGTAATCTCAATCAGATCACTGTTAAATACAGTTATCCTCTTCCTCTGATTGCGAGTATGACGGAATCATTACGCGGAGCGCGTTTCTTCACAAAACTGGATCTCAGGAGCGCTTACAACTTGGTGCGCATTAGGGAGGGAGATGAATGGAAGACAGCATTTAGTACCACCTCGGGTCATTATGAGTATCTCGTCATGCCATACGGGTTAATGAATGCTCCTTCAGTCTTCCAATCCTTTGTGGACGAGATCTTCCGGGACTTGCATGGGCAGGGTGTGGTAGTGTACATTGATGACATTCTAGTGTACTCTTCTACACGAGCCGAGCATGTAGCCCTGGTACGCCGAGTGTTGGGTAGGCTGTTGGAGCATGACTTGTATGTCAAGGCATAGAAATGTCTGTTTTTCCAGGAGTCCATCTCCTTCTTGGGTCATCGGTTGTCCGCGTCAGGGGTGGAGATGGAGATTGACCGTGTGTCAGCCGTGCGTAATTGGCAGACTCCAACCACTGTTAAAGAGGTGCAACGGTTTTTGGGTTTTGCCAATTACTACCGGAGGTTTATCCTGGGTTTTGGACAGGTAGCAGCTCCCATCACTTCCCTGCTGAAGGGGGGCCCGGTGCGTTTGCAGTGGTCGGCTGAGGCGGACAGGGCGTTTGATAAACTGAAGGACCTGTTCACCTCGGCTCTGGTGCTGGCGCATCCGGACCCCGCTTTAGCATTCCAAGTGGAGGTGGACGCGTCAGAGGCCGGTATTGGGGCAGTATTGTCTCAACGCTCAGGCACGCCTCCTAAGCTCCGTCCCTGTGCTTTTTATCCTGACGTAGGGGACAGGGAGCTGTTAGCCGTGGTTCAAGCTCTAAAGGTGTGGAGGCATTGGCTTGAGGGGGCTCAACACCCTTTTCTCATTCTGACTGATCACCGTAACCTGGAGTACATCCGGGCAGCTAGGAGATTGAACCCTCGTCAGGCTAAGTGGAACATGTTTCTGACCCGGTTCGTGTTTAAGATAACCTACATCCCAGGGTCCCAGAACGGTAAGGCAGACGCCCTGTCCAGGCGGTATGACACAGAGGAGAGGTCCGTTGAGCCCACTCCCATGCTGCCGGAGTCTTGTCTGGTGGCACCGTTGGTATGGGAGGTCGATACGGAAATTGAGCGGGCGTTACGCACTGACCCTACTCCCCCAGAGTGTCCAGTGGGTCGGACGTACGTGCCGCTCGAGGTCCGTGATCGTCTCATTTATTGGGCTCATACGTCACCCTCCTCTGGACATCCAGGTATTGGCCGGACAGTGCACTGCCTTAGTGTGAAGTACTGGTGGCCAACATTGGCTAGGGACGTGAGGGTTTATGTCTCCTCCTGCTTGGTGTGCGCTCAGTGTAAGGCGCCTAGACACCTGCCCAGGGGGAAGTTACAACCCCTGCCCGTTCCACAACGGCCGTGGTCTCACCTCTCGGTGGACTTTGTTACGGACCTTCCCCCCTCTCAGGGGAATACCACTATTCTGGTCGTTGTGGATCGGTTCTCTAAGGCCTGTCGTCTCATCCCAATGCCGGGTCTCCCTACTGCCCTACAGACTGCTGAGGCTTTGTTTACCCACGTCTTCCGGCACTACGGGGTTCCCGAGGATATAGTGTCTGATCGGGGTCCCCAATTCACCTCTAGAGTCTGGAGGGCGTTCATGGAACGCCTGGGGGTCTCGGTTAGCCTTACCTCGGGGTTCCACCCTGAGAGTAATGGGCAGGTGGAGAGAGTGAACCAGGATGTGGGTAGGTTTCTGAGATCATATTGCCAGGGCCGGCAGGAGGAGTGGTCGGGGTATATCCCCTGGGCAGAGATGGCTCAGAACTCTCTTCGCCACTCCTCTACTAACCTGACCCCTTTCCAGTGTGTGTTAGGGTATCAGCTGGTTCTGGCACCATGGCATCAGAGCCAGATCGAGGCTCCTGCGGTGGATGAGTGGTTTCGGCGCTCGGAGGAGACGTGGAACGCTGCACACGTCCATCTGCAGCGGGCCATCCGTCGGCAGAAGGCGAGCGCCGATCTCCACCGCAGTGAGGGTCCAGTATACGCCACTGGAGATCGAGACTGGCTCTCGACTCTAAACCTGCCCCTTCGCCTGCCCTGCCGGAAGCTGGGTCGGCGGTTTGTGGGGCCATTCAAAGTCCTGAGGAGATTGAACGAGGTTTGCTACAAGTTACAACTGCCTAATGATTATCACATTAACCCCTCGTTCCATGTGTCTCTCCTCAGGCCGGTGGTAGCTGGTCCACTCCAGGACTATGAGATAA